GTAGACTGGAAAAAAAACAAAAATTTGGTTCAAACTTTCTTCAACAAGTTTTCTTTGAATGCATTAGTCAGAAGGAAAAACAAACAAGACCTGGGGATTAAGCGTGAAATTGGACGGTCTATCTATTTTTTTTGAAAATCGGTAGAAGGATTTTTAAGAAAAAAGGTAAGTTTATTGCATGAAGTGATAAAAATTCCCAAAGCGTCTCAAAAAAAAGTAAAATAAATAACCCAATTTCTTAAAATTGCAAATAGTTTTCAATCAAATAATATTTTTAATAAACCGATTGGTAAACGTACAACCGCAGTCTTAAAAATTGCGGGGAGGAGTGGTAAAAATGATTTTCTCTTGAAACGACCCAAAATTAAGTCATTGAGCCGATAAAAAACAGGCTGAAAAATTTGGGTCGATAAACCTATATCTAAACCTATGGTATTAACCAATAATTTTCCTTAATTAATACTCTTTCCTAACTATTGTTTCAACAATAGACCTTATCAAAAAATTTGACGATTTTACGTGAAACTTATAACTTCAGTATAGTTTACTAAGAAATCACCCAGCAGTGTGCCTAGAGTAAGACCGGTGCGGCCGCAGCAGAGAAATACTCCTTAAAATTTTCCTTTTTCCAATAAACTCAAAAAAAAACTTTTAAACTTCTGTTAATTTTATGATTTTTAGGATCTCTAAAAAGCTTTTCAAACAGTCTTCATCCTCAAATAGCTATGAGATATTAGCTGTCTTTGTATAGAAACACAATTCAATTGTCATCTACTTGAAAGATAAAACTTGTAGGCTTCAGGCGAATTTTACCCTCTGCACTAACGGTCGACACGATATTCATCCATCTCGAGTCTATATCAGACAGCTTTTTAACTGACAAAACTTATCAAATTTAACCAAGAATTATTTTTTAATATCATTCAAATCCTCTGAAGAACTCGTTTTCTGCCTATGTAGAATACAAATTTTCTGTCTAATTATCCCAACAATCGGTTCAAAATAAGTGGTCCTACTTGCATGCTTAAAGTAACCTAAGCCTTAAAATAAATTGGTTTAATCATCACGCATTTAACCAATCGTTTGTTTTTTTTAATTTCTCCAGCTTTTGATATTTTTTCGAGGCTTATCCTCAATTTTTTTTAAATATATATTATTTTGACCCATTTTAAACTAACTTACACCTAAATCATGCATCAGGTAAGGAAACATCCACTGAAACTAGGAGTTGTGTTAAAACAATTTCAAAGGAACATAATTTGTTTTTTTTACGGAGCCATCAGTTTTTTTTTCATCATTGCTTATGATACACAACGGATTTTATTTGATTTAAAAACTCAAATAAAATCTTGTTCGAACTTCCATTACGTTGAAGGGACATGAAAGAAGCAGTTGATGCTTGAGTAATTTTTTCGATAAGACCAGCCGCCTTTTCATGTTTACCAGCAAAATGACTGACCTGAAGTTTGGTGCTTCAGTTTGGTTTCACAGCAGCCGGTTGCTTCAGTCAAATAAAAATTTAATATTTTCGCTTTTCTCGAAATTGGTATAGTTTCTTTTTTTGCTTCTTAGAAAATAATTTTCAATGAAAGTGAAACTTCAAAGCTTTCCTGTTTGAATGCGATAACTAGTAAGATCAAGATTTTCAAAACAAAATAACCGACGTTGCACTAAGATCCAGTGAAACCAAGAAGGTTCCTGACAATTCTCAAGCAAAAGAAACACTGGTAGACTCTCACAAAAATCACGGGAGTAATCAACCTCCACGGTACGAAGAAGATAAATTATAAATGTAACTTAAGTGAGTAAATCCTCCGCAGTAGGGATATTTTGCTATGCTGTTTGGTTAATTTTATTTAAGTTAATGCATCTTATTCATCATCCTCAATATTTTGTACTACTTTCCTAATCATTGTTTTAACTATAACTCTTGTCAGAAAATTTGAGGATCTCAGGTGAGACTTAAAACTTAGGCTAAATTACTAAGCAATCAACCAGCAAGGTGCGCTTTCTAAACCAAGTAGGCCTAATTGACCAACCATTTTGAGCTTGATTAAAACAGGACAAAATTGCAACTGAATTTAAAAGTTTACCATCGAACTTGATGGACAGAGAGACAAACAGTTTTTATGACTTTCAATTTGTTCCCGATATGTGTTATTAACTCAAAACTTTTCTATTTGACGTCTTGTAACTTATTGCCCAATAAAACGTTTACCGGGCACTGAGCTGACAAAATTTCAAAAATTAACATAACAATTATTCGGAAGGAAAAAGGTTTAACGAGAAAGTGTTTGGTTTGAAAAAAGATTTTTATTTACCCTTGTTTAGCAATTTATGTTTTAATCATTTTTTCACAATAAAATGACAGATATAGTCTGCTTTGTCAAAAATTCTAGCCAAAATATAAAAGTAGGACCATTTAGTGAGCCGATCGTTTAATCAAATAAATTAAATTATTAATTTGGCCTGATAACTTATTCGGAAACAAAGTCAAAAAAATTTATTGACATTAGTTGAAAAATTTCAATCAGGAATATTTTCTTTAAATATTTTGTGCAGAAATAATTTTTACTCAAACACTCGTTTTATGCATTTGATTTTTTGATTCAAATAACATGATCAATAAATTACAACAATTGAAACAAAATTTATTAGTTGTAACATGATTTTCTAATGATTTTGTCAGTAAACTGAGAGCAATGCAAAAAAGTTTTTTTAAAGATTTATCCGAGCTTAGCGTCCGCCTATTTGGCCGCTTTCACTGCTCACAAATTAAATTCAGCCAGGCTGCAGTTTATGAAAAATGGGTTCAATCCTGTTCATCTGAAGGTAGGGTTCACATCGATATAAGCAGACGACAATCGAATAGGGCATTCTTTTTTGCTGGAGATTGAAGCACGGTTTTGATGAATGAAAAAAGAGGGTTTTGTTACAAATTGAGCTTTGTGATTGTCGTTAGTTCCCCGTTTTGCTGAAAAAAAAAACGAAATTTAAATGAACACTTCGTATATCAGGGCAAATAACTGATTGCTCTCAATCTGGTCTCAAATTGTATTTGTCGTTTTTTTAAGCTTAAATCAAAACCAATTTTCAACTCCAATAAATCCTTAAAAACTTTTACGTCAAATGACTTTGGTTAAAATACTAGTCATCATTTAAACTCAGTGATGCGGTGTTTTTATTTGGGTAAAAAAAACCTCAAAAACTATTATTTCAATAGTCGAAACTTGTCTGAAATAAAAACAACCTTCCCAAGCATATTTTATCTTTTTTTCTTTGTTCGAAAAAACGAATGCGGTTCAAATTGCCCAATGCAAACCTTGAATTACTGGCTTCCAGAAACTATCGAATCTGAAACATACCAACAAGTTTAAAACGAATTGCAAGCAGTACAATAATTTGTTCAAACAAGTTTAAAAATTCACAGACTTCTTGGGTAGAAGTATGTTACACGTAGTTCCTTGGCTAATGTAGAATCATCGAATGGCTCAGTTTCGCTGTCCAGAAGGCATTCGCACTTTCCAGTTATTTTTTCAAACCTGATCACTCGCCGATGCTCAGTGTCGCCTTTTGTTTCACAAGATTGTGTGCATTGAGCTGGGCTATTTTTCCACGTTAGAAGATCCGTCTGAAAGTTGAAGGGGTTTGCGACTTTTAAGTTTTTCGAAGATGGATAAAATGTTAAACCTGTTGAATTTTGTACAGAAAAAACTAACAAAACAATGATTATTGTTGCCCTCATTTTTCAATTAATATCAATTTAGTTCGAATGTTTTTTTTTGCACTTAGAATCGATTCAGTACAATTTTTAAGATGAACTCTCAAATAAAATGGAGTTCAAGAAAGAGAACTGAAATGGAACTGAGCGACTTGACCGATGGTTTTCCTTTCAGATCACTTAAGCTCTTCATTAAATATTGATTTTCAGCTGGATACACAAATTACCCATGTATAATGAGAGAAGAATTATTTGCAATCATTTTGAGAGAAGAAACGAAAAAAGATGCCAGAGGAGAAGGTGAAATCGTTTTGCGTTGAGTCAATTCGAAACATACATAGCTGAAAACACTTTTAAAGCAAACAAATGATTTTTTGAACTACAGTTTTGGCCAAGAAATTTACTCAGGTGCTGTGAATTAAAACCTTCAGATAGAACTGCTTTGTTAATTTTATTTAAGTTAATGCATCTTATTCATCATCCTCAATATTTTGTACTACTTTCCTAATCATTGTTTTAACTATAACTCTTGTCAGAAAATTTGAGGATCTCAGGTGAGACTTAAAACTTAGGCTAAATTACTAAGCAATCAACCAGCAAGGTGCGCTTTCTAAACCAAGTAGGCCTAATTGACCAACCATTTTGAGCTTGATTAAAACAGGACAAAATTGCAACTGAATTTAAAAGTTTACCATCGAACTTGATGGACAGAGAGACAAACAGTTTTTATGACTTTCAATTTGTTCCCGATATGTGTTATTAACTCAAAACTTTTCTATTTGACGTCTTGTAACTTATTGCCCAATAAAACGTTTACCGGGCACTGAGCTGACAAAATTTCAAAAATTAACATAACAATTATTCGGAAGGAAAAAGGTTTAACGAGAAAGTGTTTGGTTTGAAAAAAGATTTTTATTTACCCTTGTTTAGCAATTTATGTTTTAATCATTTTTTCACAATAAAATGACAGATATAGTCTGCTTTGTCAAAAATTCTAGCCAAAATATAAAAGTAGGACCATTTAGTGAGCCGATCGTTTAATCAAATAAATTAAATTATTAATTTGGCCTGATAACTTATTCGGAAACAAAGTCAAAAAAATTTATTGACATTAGTTGAAAAATTTCAATCAGGAATATTTTCTTTAAATATTTTGTGCAGAAATAATTTTTACTCAAACACTCGTTTTATGCATTTGATTTTTTGATTCAAATAACATGATCAATAAATTACAACAATTGAAACAAAATTTATTAGTTGTAACATGATTTTCTAATGATTTTGTCAGTAAACTGAGAGCAATGCAAAAAAGTTTTTTTAAAGATTTATCCGAGCTTAGCGTCCGCCTATTTGGCCGCTTTCACTGCTCACAAATTAAATTCAGCCAGGCTGCAGTTTATGAAAAATGGGTTCAATCCTGTTCATCTGAAGGTAGGGTTCACATCGATATAAGCAGACGACAATCGAATAGGGCATTCTTTTTTGCTGGAGATTGAAGCACGGTTTTGATGAATGAAAAAAGAGGGTTTTGTTACAAATTGAGCTTTGTGATTGTCGTTAGTTCCCCGTTTTGCTGAAAAAAAAAACGAAATTTAAATGAACACTTCGTATATCAGGGCAAATAACTGATTGCTCTCAATCTGGTCTCAAATTGTATTTGTCGTTTTTTTAAGCTTAAATCAAAACCAATTTTCAACTCCAATAAATCCTTAAAAACTTTTACGTCAAATGACTTTGGTTAAAATACTAGTCATCATTTAAACTCAGTGATGCGGTGTTTTTATTTGGGTAAAAAAAACCTCAAAAACTATTATTTCAATAGTCGAAACTTGTCTGAAATAAAAACAACCTTCCCAAGCATATTTTATCTTTTTTTCTTTGTTCGAAAAAACGAATGCGGTTCAAATTGCCCAATGCAAACCTTGAATTACTGGCTTCCAGAAACTATCGAATCTGAAACATACCAACAAGTTTAAAACGAATTGCAAGCAGTACAATAATTTGTTCAAACAAGTTTAAAAATTCACAGACTTCTTGGGTAGAAGTATGTTACACGTAGTTCCTTGGCTAATGTAGAATCATCGAATGGCTCAGTTTCGCTGTCCAGAAGGCATTCGCACTTTCCAGTTATTTTTTCAAACCTGATCACTCGCCGATGCTCAGTGTCGCCTTTTGTTTCACAAGATTGTGTGCATTGAGCTGGGCTATTTTTCCACGTTAGAAGATCCGTCTGAAAGTTGAAGGGGTTTGCGACTTTTAAGTTTTTCGAAGATGGATAAAATGTTAAACCTGTTGAATTTTGTACAGAAAAAACTAACAAAACAATGATTATTGTTGCCCTCATTTTTCAATTAATATCAATTTAGTTCGAATGTTTTTTTTTGCACTTAGAATCGATTCAGTACAATTTTTAAGATGAACTCTCAAATAAAATGGAGTTCAAGAAAGAGAACTGAAATGGAACTGAGCGACTTGACCGATGGTTTTCCTTTCAGATCACTTAAGCTCTTCATTAAATATTGATTTTCAGCTGGATACACAAATTACCCATGTATAATGAGAGAAGAATTATTTGCAATCATTTTGAGAGAAGAAACGAAAAAAGATGCCAGAGGAGAAGGTGAAATCGTTTTGCGTTGAGTCAATTCGAAACATACATAGCTGAAAACACTTTTAAAGCAAACAAATGATTTTTTGAACTACAGTTTTGGCCAAGAAATTTACTCAGGTGCTGTGAATTAAAACCTTCAGATAGAACTGCTTTGTCTTATAGATTTACTTTTCTATCATATCTACCTGTGATTTTGAATTTTGATTGTTGGAAATATAAATATATGATTTGCACAAAATTAACGGTTTTGAAATTTAACCAAATAGCTTTCGAAGTCGCACAGCCACAAAATAGTCATAAATCGACTGGCGGCGCGACTTAAGAAAAACTTTGGCGGCGCGACTTAAAGAAAACTTTGTCGGCGCGACTTAAAGCAAACATTGACGGCGCTACCTAAAAGAAGAATGGCGTCGCGACTTAAGAAATGACTGGGTTTAGGGGCGGATTTAGGGGGGGGGGGGGAGTTTTGGGGCGGACGCTCCCTTCCTCAGGGATGCGACCCCATGCCGACCCAAAGAGTCATCCCTTTGTACTATTTTGAGATATCCGTTTTTGGCTGACTGACCCTAAAATTTTTCTAAAGCCGCCTTTTAAAGGCGCGGTAGGAGTGCGCGCCGAAAAAACGCGATTTTTTGGTCAACATTTTCCAAAAAGTTCCTAAAACGCCATTTTTGGCCTGTCTTTTTTTCAAAAACTTGCTTGCGGCGCAAAATTTGGTCAAAATGGGGTCTTCATAGTGATTTGGGAGAGCTCAGAAAATCAACTTGGTCGACCTAAAAAATCCGCCCCCTCCTCGAGAAAATCCTAGATCCGCCCCTGACTGGGTTCACAACTTAAGAAAAGACTGGCGGGCGAATTGTGAAAAAACTTGCCGCGCGACTCAAGAAAAAAGCCTGG